TTTTATGCTAAAAAAAGTACTGTACTGGAAGGCTCTACATTTAGTAAAACATATACTAATGTATTTTTGTATCTGTTTATATGACACAGTATTTGTAAAAAAAAAAAATTATAAAGGCAATTTAAAAGAACAAACTGAGATGAGTAACTATTTAAAAATTTTTGATATGGAGAACTATCATTTCATAATGGCCTAACTGTGATAACCTACAGCTATGCAAAGACCCAAGGAAAGCAACAGAGTGCCTTTTGTTTTTTTGAGACTGGGTCTAGCTATGCAGTCTGGGCTACCCTTGTGTTCACTTTTGTAACCCCCAGGCTGATCTTGAACTCATAGTGATCCTCCTGTTTCAACTGCACAAATGCTGGGATAACAGGCATGTGGCACCATGCGAGATTCTGGGACTGGCATGGCATGTGGGTCCAGGGATCGAACTTGGGACCTTGTGCATGCCAGGTAGGTGTTTATACCTCTGAGCTATCTCCCCAACCACAGAATGGCTATTATTTATTTATTTATTCATTCATTCATTCTGTATTTTAGGGAAGAGTCTACAGGGTGTTCTGGGTCTCACTACTAGATTAGACTGGTAGTGATTCTCCTGTTTACAGCCTCTGAAATGCTGGGATTACAGGCATATGCCACCATGCCCAGTCTCAATTGCCATCTCAGGGCACCCTGACGGTGAGGCCAGCACAGCAGGCCCAGGGATCAAACACCTGGCCCCTATAACTTGCTTGCAGGTGCTTTAATCTGCTAAGCTATTTGGCCAGCCCCAAAGTGGCTGTTTAAACACTCAGTTTTCTTTTCCACATTGCCAGAGTATAATCCATTCCACAAGTATGCATAATATGAAAAGCTAAATCAGTGAAGTTTTCTTTCTTTTTGCCTTTTTATAGAAGTGATTGTCTTCACTGTTAATCTGGATATCTTCCCACTTTCTGAACACACTGTTCAATTTGTCAGAGTGTCCTTTTGAAAGTGCACAAGAGCTTGGAAGATGCACTACCTTTCCCTTCTCTGCGACAAGGGGTCGGAACTGGAGCCACCCTTCCTTGGCAGCATCACTGAAAACCTCAGAGGAAGAACCTTTTCTGGACCCGGAGTCCTCTGAAGACTTCTGGCTGTCTGTGATCTACAAAGAAGGCCAAGAAAAATCAACATTTGTAATAGTTATCTGAGAGAAATTGGTAATTTTTAAAAATACTATAGTATAGTATGCTCTTTTGTCTCTCATGATTCACATTTTAGTAGGAAATAAACAACTTTAAAAGACAGAGAAGAAAATGATGAACCTGTGATTTGGAGAATGTATAAAAAATGGTGAGATATAATAATGAATGAGCAAGTGACAACTATAAATTGCTGGTGGTGAGGAAAAGCCTCTCTGAAAAATAAAGCCAAGTGACATCTCTGAAAAGATGCTGGCTCCGAAAGGCACTATGAATCTCAGATGTCCAGAGCAATGAGCATCTCAGGGAGAATGTACATTTAATGGATGCACATCCATCATTAGCAATGTAAATATCTAGAGTTCACTGAGGGGGAAACGGCATACTGTAGATGGCTTAGGGTGCTTAGGATATGGTAGGGAGAGTAAAGGAAGCCTTTAAGTGATGAATCAGGGAGCAAAATCCAATCATAGTCAAAGACTGCTAACAGCTTCATGGAGAATGGATGTGAAACATACAAGTATGAAATTCCTGATACTGGAGCAATCAAGGAGAGAGGCAGGAGGCAAGGACTTAAAGCACTGTAACACAAAACAGAGAGACTACAAATATTCAGGGCATGCTGGAGTACACACGATGTGGAACGGGGAGAATGAAACAAGATACAGGTTAACGTTGAGCGGTGGGTGAACAGACTGAAGTAGTAAGACAGGAAGCTCTAAGGCATAAGCTAGTTTGGGGAAACTGAGCTCTGCTGGCCATGTAAACCTGAACTGTGTCAAATCAGCAGGAGCTCCTAACAGCTGCAATCTGTGGAAGAGCTCAAGATCAGTGAAACAAACTAGGGGAGACTTCTGTTAACATCACTGACAAAACCAGGATCAATGAAGAAGGGCTGGAACAAACTCAGGGCATGCCAACACTGCATATGAGGCAGAGGCAAAGGGCCAGCAAAGGAGGCAGTAAAGGAGCTTCAGAGGGAGAAGGAAAGGCAGATACATATGGAAGACAGCATGTGGAAATATTTTAGGAAGGGATCAGAAATTTTACTGGACAGGTCAAATAAGGTCACACAAGCTAAAAGTAAAAGTAACTGTTAGCTTTGGACCATGGTGTTCACAGAGTGCTGTTCTGATATGTGTGAAGTGAAGACAGTGGAAACTAAACCATTTTTTCTGAGTTTTACCACAAAAAAAGAAAATAAGAGTAGATGGTCAATAAGCCCATGGAAAGACTGGCCTTTGTAGAAGAAAAAGGGGTTTGAGGGAAAGAGCATTGATCAAGGCAAAGAGAGGCCAGTGTGAGCAGAGTTTTCAGTACGGTACTGTAGAAGGCATTAAGATAAGAATAACAAAGCCACAAAATACAGCTGACAGGTATTTTTGGAGATGGTAAATGAGAAAACTCCTAGTCATTCCTGTTTTTCCAATAAAGAGTAAGGGAAGGATAACAGAAAGAGGGCAGGTGGGGCTTCAAAACTGAGTGCAGAGGGAAGATTTGAAATGATTTTATGGATAAAAAAAATGTACAGTGAACCTGGCGTGGACATGGTGATGCACGTTTGTAATCCTAGCACTCAGGAGGCTGAGGCAGGAGGATCACCTCGAGTTCAAGGTCAGTATGGGCAACAAAGTGAGTTCAAAGACAGCCTGAACTACATAGTGAGACCCTGTCTCAGGAAGAAAAAAATAGTACAGTGAAACAGAAGAATTGATGGGTAGGTAGACTTTTGGCCTTGGACTGATAAAGAAAATTCATCACAAGGTATGTAAAGTACTACATATGTGACAAATATGTTTAGGAATTAAAACATTTATATAAAAATTTTCCAAAGGCAGTTAATACTTACAGAATAAAAGGTTATGATGCTGAAATACTTAGTACAAAATGAATAAAAGAAATACCCTTTCATGGTGTGCATAAGTAAATTAAGGTAAGATAAATAGAAACACTGATCATTTGCTTGGTATTTTTGAAGTATTGAATACTAACCTTGATTCCCTTCAGGCTAGGTACATGCTTAAAGGATCTGTGGGAGGGGAAAATATATAAATATTTGTATTTAGCACAATAATACCTTAATGGAATGAGACAACTTAAATATTAAAACTAACCTTTCATTAATGAGCCAGCATTTCGTTATTAGGTTAAATGTTCACTTTTAAATGTAGGTTAAAAACAGCTTATTTTATAAATACTTAAATTTTTTTTTCCTGTATTTTAGGGAAGGGTCTACAAAGTGTTCTGGGTCTCACTACTAGATTGGACTCATAGTGATTCTCCTGTTTACAGCCTCCCAAGAGCTAGGATTACAGGCATGTGCCACCACACCCAGTCTTAATCCCTGTCTCAGCAGGCCCGGGGTGTGGGGCCCGCATGGCAGGCCCAAGGATTGAATCCCTGGCCCCTGCGCCTGCCTGCAGGTGCTTTAATCAGCTGAGCTATTTAAACTTTCAATGACAGAAATTTCTTAGCTATATGGCAAATTAAAATTGTTTCTACTTCAAGTGTGAGATTTTATCTTTTGTTAGATCAAAGAAGAAACTACTCAGACTAAATATTGGGCATATATTACTAACTAAAACTGTAAGGCTGTCAAGGATTTCCATGAGGCTAGTTATGATTGTTAAGTAATTGCCATCAATAGTTCCTTACAAAAAGACTGCCACTGCTCTGTACGGGTAGGTGATAGGTGCCCTGGTCTTTATAGCCAGCAATATGAGGGGTCCCAACCCAACAGTTTACCGACTAAACACATGCTGAGCAGCCTCAGGAAGACAAATGACAATGTTGCCACTTGAAATGGCTTTAAACTAAAAATCCACTTAAAGAACTTAGAATTTTAAGAGGTAACTAAAAATGTCACTGTCTTCTCTCAGAAACAAGCCCATATACCAAGGAGGTCAGAACCATATACAAGTGTGAAAAGTGGGTACAGGAAGAGAAGACACCATTAATTTAAGTAAGTACTGAAGTTCACTCTTCGAGATATCAAAAGCAATCTCTGGTTTGGAACAATAGGAAGTAGGGTGGTAGAATGGTCAGAGGAGCCTCATGTGTCACCATGGAGAGTAGAGGAGAAATCAACTGCTGAAGAATCAGTTGTAAACATAAAAGAAAAAACACATTTAAGAAGTAAACATGGCAAGAATTTGCTATAATTTAGAAATTGATTTTTTTCAATATGATTCAAAATCCAAGTCATAAAACTATTTTTAAAATTCTACTAAATGTTTAGAAAAAACAACATTCTTGCATTGTCAAAAAAAGAACAAAATAAAAACACTGAATTGGAAAAAAGACCTGCAATTCTTATCACAGAAAAGTGATAGCTTCCTTCATATAAAGAGTATTCAGAAGTCAACAGAAAAACCAGTTGGATAGAGACAAAAGATAAGAAGAAATACTTCACAAAAAAGACTATAAACATCTACTGTGTGTGGTGGTGCACACCTGTAATGCTAGTACTTGGAGGCAGAGGAAGGGGAATCAGTGAGAGATCAAAAACAGCCTGAACTATAGCAGTGAGACTCAGTCTCAAAAACAAAATCAAAAAAGGGTAATTTGTTGTATAGTAAATGATGTTCCATTGGTTTCAAATTACAACTACAATATGATACAATTAGATTTGGAAAAAAAAACAAAAGTAACACACAGCATCACTGAGGGTACAACTTCCTTGGAGACAGGATCTCACTTTGTAGTTCAGGCTGGCCCTGAGCTCACTCCATAGCTGACATTGGCCTCAGACTCGCAGAGATCCTCCTGCTCATCCTATTGAGTGCTAGGATCCCACCACACTCATCCTTGAAAACTATCTTAAGACATTGTGAGTGGCAATGTAAATTGCTTTATGGAGAGCAAATGACAAGAAATATTAAGATTATTACACTCCTTGATGTAATAATCTTGTTTTCAATTATATTCACAAATGTGCTAAATGAACTATGTACCAATATATGGCAGTAAACTATTGTTTGTGGTCATACATAATTCAAGCAAACTTAATGTCTACTAAGAAGATATAGAATATTGGTTAAATATATTACAGTACAACAATTCAGTGCAAACCACCATGTAAAAAATGTGGCAAAAGTATATAAACAGAAGGATTTCCCCATCACTGTGTGCACCAACTATCTTTTGCTCATAAAAATAATTAAGACATGAATACATGGATGTATAAGTGATTTTATACGTGGTCCAGGTCTAGAAGTAAACACACAAAAAGAGCAACAGTTATGTTTGAATAGTGCTGAATGTCTAGGATAGCAGATGTATTTAATACCTACATATTTGTATCATGTTTGGGTATTACTGATTTTAAAAATTCAATTGGATGTTACAAGTAACAATTTGTTTTTATCTACTAATATAAAGTTAGAAAATATAAGGCAGCCTCTGAAATTCAGTAGTTACATGCCAAACTGATGCTCAACACTCATTCACATACAAATATTTATAATTATCACTTACAATTTTGCATCTTCTCTATAATCATCCAGACCTTCATCATATGATTTTGATCTTTCTGTCTTTGAGCTAGGCTGGGCATCCAGGCTAGGAGGTCCCACAGATTCTGTAATTAAAACCCAACATCCATCTGTTCGTAAGTGGTTTCCAGACTCTTTTAATGGTAAAAAGATCAGCTCATGTAAATCCTGAGGCACAATTTACATGACCACTCTCGGAACATACCTTGGTCATGAGAGAGCTGACGTCGAATTACAGGAGCTGAGGTGGTCAGGCTGGGCAGAACTGTTGCTAATGAAGGGACTTGTGTAGCAGAGGCAGAGATGACAGCAGAGGCAGGGATGTGTGCAATATCATGGTCAATGCTAGGGCTAGTTGGTTCATCTATAAGCAAAAAGGAAAACACATATTAGAATATTAAATGACTTATTGCTAATAATACAACCAACAGTTAATAATCAGTACTAAAAGGTCCAGATAACGTCTTTATTATTAACCACAAAAGTGCCAATAAACAACATTTGGTTACTAAAACCATTTACATAGGTATTACTCTAGTAATTATAAATATTTCTAGGACTACAATATAAACAAATGAGCTGCTGCTTCTATCAGCTAATAACCACCAGAGTTCCAAAGTTTGCAATTATTTGGAACATAAAACCACCCAAAAAATTACTTTTTAAATTTTGAATGTATCACAGATTGTCAATTCAGGAAGCTAGGCAAAGTGATGTGGCTTACTACCTTTTGAAGTATCAGTTTCTCAAACCTTCCCTTCTCCCTCCATTCCCATACAAAAGTTACTGTCAATTTTTTAGAAAGATGACAATGCTCATTTGAAGGGCCAGCAAGATAGCTCAGTGGACTAAGCACCTGCTTAGGCAAGCACAGGGACCGGGGTTCAATCCCTGGCACCCCATGCCACACCGGACCTGCTTTCAGGCACAAGCTGAGCCAGCCACCAAGTCTGGGTGTGGTGGCACACCTCTGTAATCTCAGCACTGGGTAGGCTGAACACAAGAGGATCACTATGAGTCTGAGCTGTGTAGTGAGACCCTGTACAAAATACATTAAACAAAACAAAACAAAAAATAATGTTCATTCTGTTGCTGCCAGAAGAAATTATGCACTATCAGGACCACCAGTAGTCTATTGGGCCCTTTCATGTAAATCACAAAAACATCCCCTCTTGCCCAAGTGGATGCTGGTTTTGACCCTCTCCATTTGAGGAGAGGGTCAAAATATATAAAAATATGAGTATTTTTAGGTGCTATAATTTCTTTTTTTTTTCTATTTAGTAAAGATCTTTTATTGTCTCATTAAAATATCACAGATTGGCTTTACAATCCAGAAGCTTGTTTCTGTGGCTGGATTAACTCTTGGATCTTATTCATCTGGCTGCTGAACTGTTCCCTTTTCAGAAACATAGATACCATCCAAAAATTTTCTAGTATCCTTGTTTCTGACTGTTGTGGCTTGCTGAATCAAAGCAGCTGAATTTAAAAAAAAAAGCAGCCGAATTTGAAACAAGCTCAATGTCATTTCCTTCAAGGATTAGCTCATCTTTCTGGGCTTGAGATACTGAGCAAGCAACACCTGCCCTTATATGAACTCCGCAAATGTATTTTTCACCCAAGAAATTCTGGATTTCGACAAGAGGCCCATTCTCCTGAATGATGACGTTGATGGGTAAGCGAGCATACACAGACCTCATCTTGTGACGGAGGCCCAGTGTGACCCCCTTGATCATGTTCTGTATGTGACTACAGATCGTGCAGACAGTTGCCAACTCCAAGAAGACTGAGTTCCACACTGATGTGACTGAAATCCCTCTGTAGGGGTCCTCTGGGGCCCTTCACAATAATTGTGTGTCCTTTTAGAATGATGTTGAAATGTCAATGGTCTGATTGCTAAGAATGGTCTTCATTCTTGCGGGAGATGCGGTAAAGAACAGGTGCTATAATTTCTAAGCTTCTCCAAAAGCCTGTAACTATCTGTCATAAACAAATCCATATCCACACATATCAGCTGACACATTAATAGTGTTTACTAAGTATTAGCAGAGTCTAAATAATACATTACTTCTTGTGATTCTTATGAATTCCTAGGAAACAGATACTATTTTACATTGGAATAAATTAAGTAATTTCTGCAGAGTTGCAAAGCTTTAGAGATGGGATGTGAATCCAACTTGACAGCTGGGGCCTGCTCTGTAACTGTTTTCCCACTGATGAATTTGCACAAAATTCTTTTTTTTTTTCCAAAATTCTTACTGTTATAAAAATATCAATTTAAATTCTAATATTTCAGGCTCAGAGAATGTAATATAATAGGATGCTAGAACTATGATCCTTAAATTTAAATGCTTCATAATGAAATCTTTTAAAATATGGTATAAAAGATCTTGATTCCTTGATTCCAAATATCAAGCTGCTTTATCTGTATTGTCTTAATGATTGGTATTTCAATAAAGGCTCATGTTTAAAAAATTATAAAATCTCAATTTTATGGCTAAAATGAGTAAATTCTGTCTTAAGTTTTTTTTAAATTTTCATTTAAAGTGGTTCCTTACACTTTAGCCACAAAAAAGGTATTTAATTTGGTAAAGATAAATATTTAATTTTACTAAAATAAACAGTATTTAAAACTATTATTATGTTTTAAATTACCAGAAATTCAGTGCTTTCTTTGAAGTGGTTTTATGGCATCCACTAGTTTACTATTCAATGATTCATAAATATTGACGGGAATGTGAAATACCATATACTTTAGAGATTATCTGGCTTTAACAGTATTAATACTATAAATAGTCTGAAGAAATTTTTGAAGCAAAAAAACATTCACAATATGATATCTACAAGGCAAATATGATAGAGAAAAAGATAATAATTTTTTGAAATTTAGATGATACTTGTATAAAATAATGCTTCTAAAAGACTAGCAACTACCCCTGAGGATATGTAGTTATTACTGTTACAAAGTGTGAGATGTAGAATTATCTTTGAGAAGAGTGATTTTATGCCTTGAAAAGTAATTTAAAAAAATTATGTATGTATTTAAAATAAACTATCATGGAGTGAAATTTATAATGTGCATAGATTAAGGATTAACTGTCAACAGCACTGGGGGCAGTGCTTGGGAATGAACCCAGGACCTTTGCTCTGAGCTACATCACCACTCATCATCCACTCACTTCACACTTTGAGACAGGGTCTCTCTAGGCTAGATCACTAAATTGTATTGGCTGGGCTAGCACTTGCTATTCTTTTGCCTTGTATCCTAGAATGCTGGGATTATAGCCATGCACCACCATACCCAGCATCAAATGCAATTTTTTTTTTTTCAGTAAGCTTGGTTTTCCAGGTAGCATTCATCGTTCAAATTCCTTTATCTTACTGCATTTTGAAAGGAATCTTAAAAATTGATATATAGTTGCACATATTTATGGGACAGGATGTAAGATGTCAGCGCTACACTTATACTGTAATGATAAAATAAAGATGACTAGTTTATCATCTCACACATTTATCATTACGTTTCGTGAGTGCATTGAAAAGACCGTTGTAGCTATTTTGAAATATACAGTTCATTACTCTTAACTATAGCCATTGTACTACCAAACAAAATTTTAGTCACAAAATCTCAGACTACCAGAATGTAGTCTATGTAGGTGTAACTTTGTAACCACTGACCAACCTTCTTCTCAAAATTCCCTCATTTCTGGTTAATCATTCTTTTGTTCTCTTCTGCAAAGTCAACTTTTTTAGATTTCATATATGAGTAGTATTTATCATTCTTTAGGATGCCCAGTGCCAAAAAGTCAACAAATGCTGGCAAGACTACCAACAATCAGGGGAAATCTTATACACTATTGGTGGAAATATAAATTAGTACAGCCATTGTGGAAAATAGTATAGGGGTTCCTCAAAGAACTAATTACTGTATGACCCAGCAATCCCACTACTGGACACAAATCCAAAGGAAATACAATTTGATGTCAGAAAGGTATCCGTACTTCCATGTATATTGTAGCACTATTCAGAAAGGCCAAGTTTTAAAATCAACCTAAATGTTAACACCGATAAACAAATAATGTATACATATACATATATGTGTGTATATGTTCATACACACACACAAAAAAACAGTACTATTCAGTAACAAAAAGCACAAAATCTCATCATTGTTGATGACATAGATGGATCTGGATGACACTGTGTTTAGGAAATAAACCAGACACAGAAGGACAAATACATACAGAAAATTTCTGAAGCATGTTGGATTTAAATAATCTTGGTTTTAATGGAACACTCCTGTAATCCCATAACTCTGGGAGCCTGAAACAGGAGGACTCCAAGTTCAGGCTCAGCCTGGCAAATCTTATCTCAAAATGAGAACATGTAGAAGGGCTGAGGATGTAGCTCTGTGCAAAGGTGCTGGGCTCAAACCTCAATACCACAAACAGTAACTTGGTTTAAGCATATGTTTAAAAAAAAGGTGGAAGGGTAGATACTCATCTGCTCAAGGGCATAGGACTGAATACAAGAGGTGTGGGAGAAGAGACTCACTGGGTTACTCATTTCTGTACTGTTCACAGTCTTTAAAATAAATTCATTTTATTAATGTTAAGAAAATAAAAAGCAGGCTAGGGATGTAGCTCAGTGGCACAGGACCAGCCTGGCAAGCACAAGGTTCTGAGTTCAATTCCTAGTATAAAATAAAAAAATAAAAATAAAAAGAACTTAGGTGTATTTTAAAACCACACACAACTATATTACCTCATGTTTATTAATTATACTGATAAAACTAACATCTTAGCCCCTTTGAAAATATGCATGTAGAATATCATGCCTTCTGCAAATAATGACAGTTTAACTTCCTCCTTTCCAATCCTGATTCCTTTTATTTCTCTTTCTTGTCTAATGGCTCTAACTAACAAAGAATAAGCAATTGAAATGAGGGAAAAGAGAAAAAATACAAAGAAAAAAAGAAATGGGGAAAAAACTCATGTAAGTATATACACAGTAAAGGTAATATGACTGCTACTAATTTCCATCAATTTTTTGAAGGTAGCAGTAAATATTTAAAATTCTCAATTTGAACAATTTTATATGCTAGTATCTGTAATTCGAGGAACTACGCTGAAGACAGCAATGTGCAATACAACAATCACTATTGAATACCTTTCACTCTCTGTAATGCATATTGTTTCTAATGTCTTACTGAAAGAGTTAATGTTTAATTGATCGGTCTTGCATGCCTATATCTTGTAATATAAGGAACAAATTTGATGACATAAATAAAACTGCTAATTTTCTATTCCTGTTTTGAAATACCATACTATTTTTATGTTGCTTTGCTTTTGTCTTTGTCCTTATTTC